GGCTATTTTTATTCTTAAAAATTAAAGTTCTGAAAGAGCTTTTTGAGACAGAAAGACCAATTACTTTTTCTAACTCAAGAAACAGCAAAAAGATAATGCTGAACAATTTTAACAGAAACAGTGTAGAAATCAGGAAGGTAAAGGTGGAGAACTTCCTAGACAGTCCTGAATTAGGTTTTCAGTATGGTTGTTGAAGTTTTTTCAAGTAATGTTCACTCTACGAACACCTAACACAGCCACATTAAAATGTAAGAACAAAAAACATTCTAAGGCAAATAGAAAATATTTGTGGATTATCTATATACACTGCTCTTCCATGCCCTTAATACAAATGATTCAGTCAACTCTATTTTTCAGATTTTAAAACTGTCTTAGCAAAAATTCTCTCGATAGACACAGTTTGAGAGACATATAACTATGGTATTCTTATTTCCAACCCTAAAGCCCCAGAGTGTCCCATTTTTTTCCTTGCAGCAAACGTGTTTGGATCCTGAGTCCTTGCCCAGGCATTTCTGGTTTAGATTTGATGCTTATTCGTCCCTGTTGACAAATATAAGCATCTTGAGTATCACTGTTGCTTGGAACAAAGGTATAAATCAGAAAGGTAGTCATGTCTGCCTCATGATAAACTTGCTTCTCATAAGGTAAAGAGTTCATTACTCATTATAAGACTTCCTTCAGATTCCCAGAACTATTTGGTGGCAACTTTATTCTTTTATGTAGCTACATTCCTTCCCTTGGCAATGCTTGTCTGTTAGCATTGAATGCATACCTCTTGACTGTAATCCCAACCACCTGCTACTCTATAGGGCTGGTTGTTGCTGGAGTGGTGGACCTCATCATGCCCAGATACTGCTTGTTTGGAGACAGTGTGAACACAGCTTCTCAGATGGAATCAACAGGGTTATGTGAGTACCTATAGCAAGACGAATGGGATGGTAATCTTTTACCTTTGAGAAAGTAATTATTCCTCAAGAGATGGGGAAGAGAGCAGGGTACTTGATGTTTTGATGTTTTGGAGAAAAATAAAAGAGAATTTGAGAGGATTAAAGAGATTTAACACATTTTTCCTGGTCTGTAATGGCAAACCAGTAGGGGGTGATGTTGGATTGAACATGTAACTTTTTTGTTCTGGAAATGAAGCTGTAGCTAAGTGACACTGAAACAGCAAGCATTTGATCAAAACAACTAAAAGAATTCTTTGGGCAAAGGAAAACATTGCCCAGCCTGGTGTGTTTAAGGGAGTCATGTTGAGTAAAGAAATAGCTGAGGAACTGACATTTTTAGTTTTTCAACTAGTTTGTGGAAACACACCCAGAGCCAGCTGCCTCCTAGCCAGCTGCTGTTTACTACTCTAGTCTTCTTTTTGAACTAGTTAGTAACCTGGGAGTTCTGGCTTTATCAAATAGGTCCCTTGAATTTAGCTAGCAATAATCCCTCAACCTAAGGAGCTTGGGATTCTGAAATAATTAATTCCAACTTGCCCTTAGCTTCTATCAAAACATCCATGGTATCAATGATACCACTCCTTCTTTGAGAAGAAAACTGTACAAACCATTATGACATTTGTCTGTTGCCAGCTTTCTTGGTTATGTATTGCTACTCCTAAGGAAATGTCTGAATCACAATGTGCCTTTACGTATATCCTGGTTGAGCAAAGCGATTTGTTTATGGTAGTATAAGAAAAGCATAGATTTTTATATATAGTTTTTATGGTTTTTATATTTAAAAAACACTTAGACCCTTTGCAGCTCTGACTTTGGCATTTATCAGGCAAGACATCTCTTCCCACATTTCAGCAATACATGCAAACTAGTCCCTGATGATATGGTGGCCTGTATTACAGCAGGTGGTACCCTGTATAACCCCACTCCTCATCACTCATGTACAGAAACAGGCTTGCACCATGGATTTAGTCTTAGTCAATCTAGCCTATGCAGCCATGATTAAGGAGGCAGCATGGAACTTAGAAGCTGTTGTCAGAATAAATTTTCTGACATCTGGGAAAATCTTCGAACTCCACAGACATGGCCGAAGCCATGGGCATAGTCCTCCAGGAACTGCTGTAAGCATGTGACTTTGTTTTTGAAGTACAACTGAAGATGAAGTGAAACTGATCATGTAACAGCGATGCAGATTTGGCACAGTACCCTGGACTGATGTAAACTTGTAGAAGACTAAAGTAATATATTCTGGTCTGCACCAAGGAAACTCCACGCATTTCACATTGAATATATAGAGCTGACAGCAGAAATTGAATTTTCAGATTTAGGCAGCACCTTGCCCAGTGATCAGCTAGGAAGAAGAAAATGGAATGAATCACGTAAAACAGGTGTTTATCAAGCACTGATTATCCAAGGAAGGCATTAGGAAGGATACAAAGAAGTATACACATGTGATCTTTGCACTAAAGGAGCTGGTTAGTGTGGTTTTCTGGAAGCTAAAAACTGACTGAAATATGCCATTAAACTCTACATCTGATTGAATGTATGTAAAGAGGTAACCTCTAACCTCATTTTGGATGTGAGACTGGGGCATGTCACAGGTCTATTAAAAATCAATTTTATCAATACCTCCTTTGTGTACAGTTGTATCCATTGATTCTGGAATGGAAGTGACTAGTAACACAGCCTTGAAGTGATCCTCCTTGCCACACAACCAGATGGTAGTCTCTCTCTTTTGAGCTGTTGTTCCCCACCAATAGGATTACTCTACTGAAAGGCTCCCTGACAACCAGATGCTAGTGAAATGGCACACATAGGGTTGGCTAGGGACACACTAGATAATTATATGACTTTTAGTAATAGGACAACCCTTTTTGAGTAGATGTTCTGGGTGACATGTCAAAAAAAGGAAAGTCATTGCAAGTAAACATAGCAGAAATTTCGTCCATTACTTTTCAGCCATGCCTTCCTACTTAGATTGTACTAAGCTTCTAAAAGAATTAGCTTTTCAAATGTGTGTGAGATAAGTCTTGGACTTTTATTTAAGATTCAACTTGAACAAGGTCTTACTTCATAGGATGACAATTTCCAGGAAAGTCAAAGATTATGCTTCAGTTAATAAATGAGTTTTCTTTACCAAATAATTACATTTAGTTTCCAACAAAACTTTTAGTCATAGTTCCCCATGTAAAGCTTTACCCCAGGTTGGGATCATTAATTGGAAAATAATACATTCATTTATGTACACAGCCAGATGTGCCCTCCCAAAGGCCAACTATAAATATACACTAGGTGCAAAATGTTGAGAGGGGTCTTGGGTCACTTATTGATTTTTAAACATTTTATGTACAGCAGTATTGAAAGATAATTGTATGGATGTATTTGGAAAAGTCACTCTTTTGTCTCTTAAGTAAGATACGTAAACCTTGGGAGTTCAGCCTTAGCAGCTGCCTGTGAGAGGCTGCTTGAAGCCTCACAGCCTTCAGAGGAGATCACATTTCAGCCGAGAGCACAGTATTGGTTGCTGGTTTCTCCACCTCAGCCCTCAAGTTAAATTAACACCTTTCTATTACATGGCCTTTCATCTGAGGTGGTGTCTAGTTGCTGATAGGTGCTACAACCTTATTTGGGCCTGGTGAGGAAAGCTATTACCCCTCCCTCCCAACACTAACTAAACCTCTCTCTCAGGGATCTTTTTAGGGTCTAGTTCATTTAGATGTGAGGCTATTTATTACATTAATATTTTTCTCATTGATTTTACCTGAAAGGATCCAAAGTCATGCCTCTCTTTCTTTTAGAGCTTATCGCATTCATGTCGGTCATAGCACCATGACAATTCTTCAAGCTCTGAGTGAGGGCTATAAAGTGGAGCTTCGAGGAGGGCAGAGCTCAAGGTATAATGTCCTTTTGTTTTGTGAGTCAAACCACTCAGACACACCTGCTTCTGGAGAGGTCATGGTCTGCTGAAAGAGTTTACCTGGGTGTCTGAGATTCAGACCTATAATTTGGGCAGAATTTTCAGCCCCATTTGCAGTTCCAAAAATATTGTTCCCTTTTGCCTCAGTTTTCTTTTTTTAAAAAATATGGCTACAGTGAGTAAGATTGTTAAAACTCCTGCATTTTTTAGACTACCCAGAATTGGCTTTCCCATGAGATACACTATTATTTACATTTTAAATTCAATTTTGTTTACTCTTTTGCAATGCCAAACATTGTTCCATAAGCTACAGTATTGATGAGTTTGGGTTATCTATTTGACTGATCAGTGGCCACCCTTTCTGACTTTTCATCTCCATCATTGACCCCCTGTTATATCTTTCTCCAAGTACCAGGAGGAATAAAGTCAGTTCTATGAAAGACATTTCGTACCACCTTTCTTCTCTGTTAGGATTATCACTTGATCTAACATTCAGGATTAGAATAATTTTCTTCTTTTTTTGCCATTTCCACTGGATTTTTTCCATTTTCTTCTGGATGACTCCAGGACCCCTGGCTGCCCAGTTGTAAGAGACTCTACAGATCTGATAATATAACTCCTTCATTTTCAGATCAAGAACCAAGGCTCAGAGAGATGAAATAATTTGATTAGGTCACACAGTCAACTGATAGCAGAATCAGGCCCAAACTCAGGAAGTCTGACTTCCCATTTAGTAGCCTTTCTATGATACCATTGTGCATGAAAATTATTTCCTCAGTGATTATTTCTGTGCAAAGCAAAACCCAGGCACTGAGTAATGCACAATTTTGTTCTGTTAAAGCAAAACCTGAGCAGTGAGTAATGCACAATTTGTTTCTTTCATTGGCATGCCTTCCTAGATGGTGGAAATATAAATATAAACATATTTCAGAAGTTAAAAGTTGGAAGGCTTGATTCTAGTTAATCAATTTCTTTTCTGACTAGTCCTATGAGTCACTTATGAGGTTCCTTTCCCACCTCTGCAGAGAGCTCAGTGAGATGATGGGGATGGTGATATTATCTGGTAAGTGAATCAAATCACCCAAGGCTTTCGCGATCCCTCTACATAGCCTCAGCAGAGGAGGACAAAGGCAGCTTGATTTCTTGAAGCACCTTCCTCTCTGTATTACTGAACATAGATACACCCATTTAAAAGCTGAAGAGGTACCACTTTGAAACTGAAAAGGAAAAATATGCCCTCATCCCCATGGTTTTTATTGCCCCCCAAATTCCAGTCAGAAGCAATCACATCTTTGGGTGTTTCAAGTACAAAAGCAGGACTACTTCAAAAGGGCCCTTTACGGCATCACAGTTTCCCTTGCCCCAGGGAATTTGGAAATGTGCTATACAGCAAGTTGGAGAAAGACGCAGGGAGAGACTTCCCCTAATGCCACCTCAGGTCTTGGTTATTGGGGTGGCAGAAGCCTCCTGAGGAAGAAAGATTGAGAGAGAGATTAAGACAAAAAAAAAATAGGGGCTCCAGGGAAAAGGAAGAGGCAATGAGAAGGAAGATGATAGAAAGTAAGACGCAAAAAGAGGAAGGGAGAGAAGGGGAGATTCTTTTTATCTCTGTGCCCCCCACCTCCCCACCAGAGGACAGGTATTAGACATTACTTAGTAGGGACTGGGGGATTCCTTGTCCCTTGGGGGCATGCAATAAATTCCCAATAAGACTACATTACCAGCACACTTCAGAAATTCTGAATCAATATTTCCACCCCTCATCCACTTTCTGCTTCTGAAAACAAGAATTGCTCTAGTACATTGGTCAGAAAGACCACATTTGATAGCCAGCCAGATGTGATTTCAAGGCTAAAAATATCCTCTCCTTCCAACTGGCTGATGTTTGAAATTCCTCCATCAGAATCTCTTCTCTTGGGCCCAAGGCTTGGATCTAATAATGCTGACCCCCACCCAAGTCCCATCTCCTTCACTGAAGTGATGATACTTTAAGATGTTTCCCTTAGTGGAATCAAAGATGTAGATTGCATTGGGTGAGAGAAGACAAAATATAAAAGTTGAGTAATTGGGTGGGTGGTGGGTACAGAGACCAAAAAATGAGGAATCTGGAGTAGCTTGTGGAAGGACCCCATTTAGAGATGTGAAGCTCAGTCTCTCTGGGGAACTGTCCAGCTGCCTACTCCAACCCTGACTTGTACTATGCTGGTAACAAATCATAAGTGCTTAACTGGCCAATTCTGCATTTTCCAATTTCTTTCCTAATGTCCTGGTGTTAAGTCATCTTATTATTTCTTTTCTTACATGAGTCCTGTCTCCGTTACTGATTCCCTGACAAATTTGAGGGTCCCTGCTGAAATTTCTATATATGTTGGTTTATCAGTTGTATTTACCAGGGTTTCTGAAGTAGATTTACATACTGAAAAGACTTTCCCAAATGGCTGTTCTCAGCCCATTTAAGTTGTCCTTTCCAGAGGTGGACACTTCTGACTTTGTGTCTGAATTCTGGGGCTAAATAGTATTTGAATCTCAGGCCCCTAAGCAGGAGCCCTGTTTTACTTTTGATTTCTCTTTTTTCTCTCAACCTTTTCCACCCTAACCCTCAACCCTTAACAATACACACACGTGAACATGCATACATGCAAGCACACGCACGCATGCACACACACACTAGCAATTGAGCTAAGAAGCAGTAAGTTTGTTTTGACAGAGTCCTGAGGGTCAGAAGAGCTGGTCTGTATTTCTTGTCCCATCAATGACTCAATGTATGACATTGGACAAGTAACTACATCCTCTCTGTGCTTCCATTTTTCCACATAAATGTCCCTTCTGACCTGTGATTATCAAGAAGCTCATTAATCACAAGCTTTACAATTCCCAACAGTTGCTTTTTGGCTCTAAACCTGCCCTTTGACTTCAGTGTGTTGGAAAAGCTATATAGAGCAGAGGTAAGAGGAATAAAAATTTGGAATCTAAGATGTTAACTAGAATTATTGTGATAATCATTTCACAATATATACAAATATTGAATCATGTTGTACACCTGAAACTAATATAATGTTGCATGTCAATTATACTGTAATAAAAAATAGCAAAGTCATAATAAAAAATTAAATTTGGAGTCTAGTAGAATTGGGTCCAACTGCCAGCTATGCCTGCTTATTGACAAGACATTTAATCTCCATGAACCTTAGTGAACCCATTTGCAGAATGAGGTTAATAATAAGCTTACTTTTCAGAGGTTTAGTGAGGATTAAAGACAGGAGATGCCAAAGTGTCTTAAAAGTGTCAGACCAAAGTAAGATGATATTATTGGAGGGGGG